CCACAGACCACGTTTGCTTGCTGTAGCTTTGTTACTGTGCTTTCCTCCCCCTTGTTTCCAGCAGGAACAGCTTGCGGTCCAGAATGAGGAAAGAAATCAAATACGACTTGACATTTAATCATTATCTTGTAGCTGTCCAAAGAGAGTATTCAGTATGATGCTTCAGCTGAAATGGAATGTGTCCTCTACAGAGTAGTCCCTACATGGAGGAATACACCAGATGGGTCAGATGCAAACTGGTGAGAACGGAAGGGTTGTAAAGTAGTCCCCTGTCATTCTTCCAGCCAGTACTTCCTGAGGGTCATCCTAAGTGCTGAGCACAGGGCACATTGTGAACAAAATAGGCCCAAATCCTTTCTTTATAAGCTTACAGTCAGAGACAGAGACTCTTCAGGAACCTTTCCACGACGGCCCATTTTGCTCACATGAAAAACCAGAATCTTTCTTTTTTTTTTAATTTATTGTATTTATTTTTGGCTGCATTGGGTCTTCGTTGCTGCACCTGGGCTTTCTCTAGTTGCGGCGAGCGGGGGCTACTCTGTGTTGCAGTGCGTGGGCTTCTCATTGCGGTGGCTTCTCTTGTTGCAGAGCATGGGCTCTAGGCGCGCGGGCTTCAGTAGTTGTGGCACACGGGCTCAGTAGTTGTGGGTCGCAGGCTCTAGAGCGCAGGCTCAGTAGTTGTGGCTCACAGGCTTATTAGTTGCTCCGCGGCATGTGGGATCTTCCCGGACCAGGGTTGGAACCCATGTACCCTGCATTGGCAGGCAGATTCTTAACCACTGCGCCACCGGGGAAACCCAAAAAGCCAGAGTCTTTACAATAACCTAAAAGGCGGTGCAAGATCTGCTCCCCCCCTCAGCCCCCTTACCTTTCTGACCTCATCACAGGTCACTCTCTCCTGATTTAACTGGTCTTCATGCTGTTCTTAGAACAGACCAGACACACTCCTTTTTTAGGGCCTTTACACTGGCTACTTCCTCTGCCTGGAGTGTTCTTCTAGATAAATCCTTTCAGCTAACTTCCTCATGTCCTTCAGGTCTAAATGCCACCTTTTAGGTGAGGCCTATCCTGACCAACCTATATAAATTACAATCTACAACCTTCCCAACAATCCTGACCCCTTTTTCCTTGCTCTATTTTTTCCATAGTAGTTACCAATTTTTAACATATGATATACTTATTTGTGAGATAAGTTTAATGAGGGCAGGGATCTTCTTATTGTTTACTGAAGCATACTGAGTGCTTACCTAGGTCAGTAACAGGCATATAGTTGGTATTCAATAAACATGTTGAATGAATGGAAATGAAAAGTACTGTGGAAAAGAATTAAGAAGGGTGTACTAGTTTCCTATGGCTGTTGTTAAAAATTACCAAAACTTTGATGGCTTAAGACAACAGAAATTTATTCTCTCACAGTTCCGGAGGCCAGAAGTTCAAAATCAAGGTGTCGGCAGGACTGTGCTCCTTTTGAAGGCTCTAGGGAAGAATCTATTCCTTGCCTCTTCCAACTTCTGGTGGCTCTAAGCGTTTTTTAGCTTGTGGCCCACATCAGTCTCTGCCTCTGTGGCCACATTGCCTTCTCTTCTCTCTCAGAATTCCCTCTGCCTGTCTTATGAAGATGCATGTAATTGTATTTAGGGCCCTTCCAGATAATCCAGGATAAGCACCTCCTCTCAAGATCCTTAATCACATCTTTTGTCATGTAAGATAATATCCACTCTTTTGCCATGTAAACTAATATTCACAGATTCTGGGAATTAGTACGTGAACATACCTTTTGGGGGGCCACCATTCAGCCCACTACAAAGGGTTGGGATCCTTGAGTTACAGGGGGAAGAATCATCTCTGATGCACCACGTAGTATAACACAAGGATACGAGGAAAGCCAGGAGACGGCAATCATCCATTTCCCCCCTTTTTACTGAAATTTTCATTGAGATTACATTATTTTTTTCCAATTAAACACACACACACAGAAGAGCACAAAGAATAATATTACAATTTCCACGCACTGGTCTTGGCCTCCCCAGTTGTTAACATACTGACATAGTTCCTCCATATCTTCCATTCTTTTCTTTTTCTTCCATTCTTATTATAAGTAAATCACATCACAGCTAAATTCCAAATCCCCTATGCTCCCATTCCTGTTTCCATTTCCCTCCCTGCTCATCTAGAGGCTGTCACTGTCATTGATTTGGCATATGCCCAATGCATAGTGTGTAGCTTTACTGCACATATAACCATTCATACATAATATACGGAGTTGTTGTGTGTGTTTATCTTAAAAATGTTTTTCATACATGGCATTATAGTGTATGTAATATTCTGCAGCTGGCTTTTTTTTTTTTAATCAATCCAGGTTGATACATACAAATCTAGTTCAGTCATTTTTTTTTTTTTGGTACGCGGGCCTCTCACTGTTGTGGCCTCTCCTGTTGCGGAGCACAGGCTCCGGACGCGCAGGCTCAGCGGCCATGGCTCACAGGTGCAGCTGCTCCGCGGCATGTGGGACCTTCCCGGACCAGGGCACGAACCCGTGTCCCCTGCATCGGCAGGCGGACTCTCAACCACTGCGCCACCAGGGAAGCCCTAGTTCAGTCATTTTAACTGCAGCTCTAAGTGGCAGGTTATCTCTCTCTCCTGGCTTTAGAATGTATATCCCAGAGAAGGCCTTTGATTAGCCTAGCCTGGGTCACATGCCAGTACCCGTTGGATCAGTTTGTGGGTTCAGCACTGGGGGGCTTTGATTGTTCGAGTTGGGAATACATGCCTGCTGCTGTAGCCATAGGGTCAGCCTACTCTGCCGCTCTCGTCAGAATCACATGCATTTGAAGGATTGTTATAGAAAGAAGTGGAAAAGGATTTGGGGCCGACAGAAACACAGATTGCCACTTGAGTTTCAGCCCTGACCTTGGATATCAGGTCCTCTGGGAAGCCTTCCCTGACTCCTTAGATTGTGCCCTGTGCCCTTGCACTTAATATATTGTCAAGTAGTATGTTAATTCACCTCTCCTTGAGGTGCACTCCTTTAGGGCAGACTGTGTCTGTCTTGTTTCCCTCCTGTACCTCAGGAAATGGAAGGTCTGACACACCATTCCCTCCTCACCACATATTTTTGCCTGAATGATTCCACCGAGTGTAACTTACAACCTCACTTCCCGTGAATGGGTTCCTGCCAGGGAATCTTGTGTGGCTGTGACATGTTTGCACCTACCTTTCTGCCCATTAAATTCTGGCTTTTTTTCACATCATTTGGTTTGTGTGGGTGACTTGGCCTGTTCTGGATTTTCTTTTTCTTATTTAATAGTGAAAATTCAAGGAAAGATGAAATTGCTAAAATGCAAACTCAGACTTCCTTTGTAAAATCTTTGGAGTTGAGCCCTGCCAGGCCTTTTTCATCCCACTGTCCTCTCAGCTTTCATGTGTGCACAGTAATTTCTTTCTAACCTCAGACATGCCATCAGCAGAATGTGTTTTATGCAAAGTTACTTCTGAATACCTTCTTTAGCATCAGGAGAATGTGGATTCCAATGGGTATAAGATGTATTTGGAAGTAGTCGTAGCAATCATAAATGGTCATAGCAGTCATAAATTATTGAGTGCTTTTTCTGACCAGGCATGTAGATGGAGGTGTCATCTTTATGCCTGTTATACAGGTGAGAACATGGGAGCTTGGAGAGCTCAGTGATGCACCCAAGTTCTCTCAGCTCCTGAGTGGTAGAGCCGGGATGCGAATCCACACACTGACACCAGAGCCACACTCCTAAGGACCATGTTCTGCTGCTTTTTATAATCATGAAAGAGTAAAGCTGGGGTTTGAAATGTAAAATAGATAGCTAGTGGGAAGCAGCTGCATGGCACAGGGAGATCAGCTTTGTGACCACCTAGAGGGGTGGGATAGGGAGCGTGGGAGGGAGGGAGACGCAAGGAGGAGGAGATATGGGGATATGTTTATATGTATAGCTGATTCACTTTGTTATACAGAAGAAACTAACACACCATTGTAAAGCAATTATACTCCAAAAAAGATGTTAAAAAAAAAAAAAAAGCTGGTCAGCTGGGGTTTGGTAATAGAAAAGGACATCGAACAGCTCACAAATAAGGAATGGAGTTTTTGCCATAAAGCTTTGATAAAGATAAAGAGCAGGAGGAGGAATCAACCCAGATCTTAGAACAATAACCCCACAGCCTCTGTGAGGGAAGAAGGAGCCAAGGTGTGTGTACGTGGGCCTGAAGCCATGTGCCACGGCCTAAACTGGCGCCACAGTCCCTGGAATGTGGGAGGGAGAATACACGCTGCCCAACGCTTTTTCTGCTTCCAGCATGCCCTGTAGCCCTGGGACTCTGGCTATCATAGGAGCCATTTAACCGGGAAAACTTTGAATATGTGGATAAACATTTAGACATAAAACAAATTTCATACCTATGTGAAGCAAAATGGAAACTGTGGGAGAGGCAACGCGAGAAGTTCACAGCAGGCAAGCAGCGGAATCTGATTATATGCTACCACTATTATTAAAGATATGTACAAGGCCACTGATCCTGCATTTCTTCGTGCTGTTTTAAATCAGTATATACAAGGGCTTTCGTAGGTTCTGTGTAGATCTCAGTGTCTATCTCCCAACCCTGTATTTACTCTAAAGTCTTGTATTATTTAGCTCTGAATTCTCTTACCATGAATGTTTTCAGGAACATAACCCCTACAGTTGGAGGAGATTACTGATATCACTAAACTTGATAGGATAATCTGTGTTCTTTGTAACCTGTTTCCTATACTAGGTTACTGTAAGTACCTTCCCCGGAGGGACACTGTTTCCTGCCTTTGTAATACTTTGCTCAGTTCTATCTAAGTAAATACTCTTGGTTTATATTTGAATAATGGTGCTAATTGCGTAGCGGGTCTGTGTTCCCAAATGGGGTTATCTTGTTTCTGTTCCTGGAAAACAGTTATAGGATAAAGGATGGTATGAAAATTGAGTTGTGTTTTTATCCCTTTCTAGGTTGCATCACAGCGTATTAGCTCAGTGGACCTCTCATGTTGTAGCCTGGAGCATCTGCCTGCCAACCTCTTCTACAGCCAAGACCTCACTCATCTCAATTTAAAACAAAACTTCCTAAGGCAGAGTCCCAGTCTACCAACTGCAAGGGGGCTCAATGAACTGCAAAGGTGAGCATGCAGAAGTGGGTAGATAATTAGGAAGGTGAGGGGGTGTCAGCTTCTGGTTGTTTCTTGAATATTCTGACTAAAAAGCTACAGTTAGTAACCTTTCTCTTTCAGAGGGCAGGGTAATAGGACTTTAGTAGTGGAGACATTTTCAGTTCTCATTCTGAAATATTTTTCAAGGTCTCTGCCTTTGAAATGAATGATTTATGATAGTCATTACCTGGATAGATTTGTATAAGAAGAACACTTCTCTTTAAATCACTTGTATTTCTTAACCTGTCTACAGATGGGTCTGTGAAAAGTTGATATTTGCTGTGTTACCTCTGAACTGTAGGGGTTTGGTCAGATTAATTACTTCTTTCAAAATTTACAAAAGGTCAATTTTTTCCATGAAAAGATATTTCCTTAGAAATTTAAGAACGAAAGTTTAAATTCATTAATACCACATCATCTGGGTGATTACTGTATACGTTTCAAGAGTCGCATGTGAAATGCAAAGGGTATGCTCCTCTAGTTACAGGGAAGGGACTTTATTTGCATTTATCTGAAACAGATTTAAGAATTTACCATATTCATTTCGTTTTCTTTTTTGGAGCAATGATCAATCTTGATTCTGTGGTAAATGAAACCTCTGATATATATTTGTTGCAAATATGTGAGACTATAACTACAGAAGGATATAACTTTTAAATAAATAATGGATAGCTCATTTGTTCTTAAATGATTGATAATCATCAGAGATTAAACTATGGAAATTAACCATTATGATTATGTGTTTATGGTTTTTTAACATTCAGAAAGAATAATCCAATAAGTATTTATATAAAGTTTCTGCAGACATGTAGAATAAAGGAAGAGTATTTTAATTTTCTTTTCAGATGATTGTGAATATTCTTCTTTGATATTATACCAAAACTTGACAAGTGGTAATTTCTTAAATGTTGGTTGCAGTGTGGAATGTAAAATCCTATCAGTGGACTTTTAAAATTCTTTTACATTAGGATCCATTGATCTTTCTCATACTTTGAATGGATCTTTGCCCCATACATCCTTTTATTGCATTAAGTATTGGTCATTTGGAAAATACTGGTTTGTTGGGTAACAGTGAGATTCCAGATGTTAATGTATTTCATTATGCAGTTTCAAGAAATGACAGTTGTTAATATCACCACTGATCCCATCAGAAAAATCTTTAAGTATTGGGAAGTTGTCAGGCTCAGTGTGGAAACAAGTTTTCCAAAATTTTAAATTTCAGCTGAAGGCTTGAAGGCTAACCTTGGCAACAAATACTGTCAGTTGTTTTTCCTGAAGTGACCTTCTTACTTCATTGTAGAGAAAACGTCTGCCAAATACCCAAGTCTGAATACTGAGTTTGTCAGTTGTTCTTTCAGGTAAAAGTGGTATTCCATGAACATTGTGACTAGTTTGGCTCACAACTCAAATAATCGTACAAGGGTTTTCCTTGGGATAACCATCATACTTTATACAGCAGAAGTGCTTTATGTGTACTTCCCATTTTATCACCCAGAAAATAAAAAAGATATGTATTCAGCGGTTGAGATGTAATACAAATAACTTCCTTGCATCATCAAGGATATTTTTAAGTAAAATTGGTATTATGCAATTTTTTTGAATTTTATTTTATTTATATTTTTATACAGCAGGTTCTTATTAGTCATCCATTTTATACACATCAGTGTATACATGTCATTCCCAATCTCCCAGTTCATCCCACCCCCACTCCCCCGCGGCTTTCCCGCCATGGTGTCCGTACGTTTGTTCTATACATCTGTGTCTCTATTTCTGCCCTGCAAACCGGTTCATCTGTACCATTTTTCTAGGTTCCACATATATGCGTTAATATACGATACTTGTTTTTCTCTTTCTGACTTACTTCACTCTTTAGGACAGTCTCTAGATCCATCCACGTCTCTACAAATGACCCAGTTTCGTTCCTTTTTATGGCTGAGTAATACTCTATTATATATATGTACCACATCTTCTTTATCCATTCGTCTGTCGCTGGGTATTTAGGTTGCTTCCATGACCTGGCTATTGTAAATAGTGCTGCAATGAACATTGGGGTGCACGTGTCTTTTTGAATTATGGTTTTCTCAGGGTATATGCCTAGTAGTGGGATTGCTGGGTTGTATGGTAGTTCTATGTTTAGTTTTTTAAGGAACTTCCATACTCTTCTCCATAGTGGCTGTATCAATTTACATTCCCACCAAAGTGCAAGAGGGTTCCCTTTTCTCCACACCCTCTCCAGCATTGTTGTTTGTAGGTTTTCTGATGATGCCCATTCTAACTGGTGTGAGGTGATACCTCATTGTACTTTTTATTTGCATTTCTCCAATAATTGGTGATGTTGAGCAGCTTTTCATGTGCTTCTTGGCCATCTGTATGTCTTCTTTGGAGAAATGTCTATTTAGGTCTTCTGCCCATTTTTGGATTGGGTTGTTTGTTTTTGTGATATTGAGCTGCATGAGCTGTTTATATATTTTGGAGATTAATCCTTTGTCTGTTGATTTGTTTGCATATATTTTCTCCTATTCTGAGGGTTTTCTTTTCGTCTTGTTTGTAGTTTCCTTTGCTTTGCAAAAGCTTTTAAGTTTCATTAGATCCCATTTGTTTATTTTTGTTTTTATTTCCATTACTCTAGGAGGTGGATCAAAAAAGATCTTGCTGTGATTTATGTCAAAGAGTGTTCTTCCTATGTTTTCCTCTAAGAGTTTTATAGTGTCCAGTCTTACATTTAGTTCTCTAATCCATTTAGAGTTTATTTTTGTGCATGGTGTTAGGGAGTGTTCTAATTTCATTCTTTTACATGTATCTGTCCAGTTTTCCCAGCACCACTTATTGAAGAGACTGTCTTTTCTCCATTGTATATCCTTGCCTCCTTTGTCATAGATTTGTTGACCATAGGTGCATGGGTTTATCTCTGGGCTTTCTATCCTGTTCCACTGATCTATATTTCTGTTTTTGTGCCAGTACCATACTGTCTTGATTACTGTAGCTTCGTATTATAGTCTGAACTCAGGGAGTCTGATTCCTCCAGCTCTGTTTTTTTCCCCTCAAGACTGCTTTAGCTATTCGGGGTTTTTTGTGTCCCCATACAAATTTTAAGATTTTTTGTTCTAGTTCTGTGGAAAATGCCATTGGTAATTTGATAGGGATTGCATGGAATCTGTAGATTGCTTTGGGTAGTATAGTCATTTTCACAATATTGATTCTTCCAATACAAGAACATGGTATATCTCTCCATCTGTTGGTATCATCTTTAATTTCTTTCATCAGTGTCTTGTAGTTTTCTGCATACAGGTCTTTTGTCTCCCTAGGTAGGTTTATTCCTAGGTATTTTATTCTTTTTGTTGCAATGGTAAATGGGAGAGTTTCCTTAATTTCTCTTTCAGATTTTTCATCATTAGTGTATAGGAATGCAAGAGATTTCTGTGCATTAACTTTGTATCCTGCAACTTTACCAGATTCATTGATTAGCTCTAGTAGTTTTCTGGTAGCATCTTTAAGATTCTCTATGTATAGTATCATGTCATCTGCAAACAGTGACAGTTTTCCTTCTTTCCAATTTGTATTCCTTTTATTTCTTTTTCTTCTCTGATTGCCATGGCTAGGACTTCTAAAACTATGTTGAATAATAGTGGCGAGAGTGGACATCCTTGTCTTGTTCAGCATTATGCATTTTTAAAAGGAATATTTTTGCCATGATTGCCTGGCAGAGAAGAATACTGTGACAATGGGGACAGTTTGATGCTGCACTGGATTAGCTCCATAGGCAGTAAGAACTCCAGAAGGATATTGTGCTCGAGCACTTCCTTATTGTTCCCTGGAGCTGATGGTTACAGTGAAAGGGAATCACAGGAACTTCTTGAACTTAGGTTTTTATATGCCCTATGCACTCATAATACTATTTTTACTGATAGTACTGTAATAAAGTTACAATGATTTTTTGCTAAAGGATTATACCATGATTTAATCTGTTTTTGAGGCTTGAAATTATTTTGAAGTATTCTTGTGTATTTCACAGCATTGTAGGCTTCTGCACTTCATTACAGAACATCAAGAACTTTATATCATGCTATTAAATCTTGCTGTCTTAGAACAGAAAGGGGCATTAGAATTTATCCAAACCAGTGCTCTCATTTTAGAGATGAGGTAGAGGGAGATGTTAAATGCCAAAATCAGGTTAACGGTTACCTTCTGGGAGGCGTTTGGGAATGCGATTAGGGAATGGTTTGAAGAGGATTTCAACTATAACTATATCCAAAATGTTTATTTCTTTACAAAAAATTAGAGACAGACAAAATGTTAATATTTGAAAAAGCTGAATAGTGGATACTTGGATGATCATTATTATTTTCTGTATTTTTCTATTTGTGTATTTCATAATAATCCAAAAGTTAAAGCCTAAACAAAAAGGAAATCAAAATGCTTCTCATAACATAGGGGCATATGATAGTCCCAAAGGGTCAGCATATATGGACTGAATAAATAAATACCCAGATGGAGGGATATTTGGGGCATTGCCTTGCCTGTTGGTGCTTTCAGAATCTCCTGATTGGTCCCTCATATCTGTTGATTCTAAATCTGTAAATAGCTTTTCAACACGTCCACCTTTCTTGTCTGTTTCCTCTGCTGCTTCTCCTCTGTCTCTTAGCACATACCCTCTCCACCCAGCTGTGAGGGGAAGCACTTCTCAGCTCTCACAGGGGCTGTTGCAGGAGCTTTGGAGAAATGGTTGTCTTAACTGTCATTTTCCCACTGCAGTTCATCCTGTTTAGTTTTCTTGCCTACTATTTTGTGCATTTTGGGTTTTGTTTTGTTTTGTATTTTTAAGAATTTAAACATTCGTCCCATCAAAGTAATATCCTATATAGAGTTTTAAAAAATCTTAATAGGCAATAAGACATAGGAAATAGGAACTCCAGCCCTTCCTTATACCCAAGTCCTGTTCCCTAGGCAACTACTTTTGATTCTCAGGACTC